ATGCTTTTCCCGAGATTAGAAACAAAACAAGGATGTCCCCTCTTACCCTTCTATTCAACATTGTTCTGGTCATTTTTAAAAAATAAAGGACATTCAGGGTTGGAAAGGAAAAAGTAAAACTGTCTCTATTAACAGGTGATATGATTGTCTATTTAGAAATTCAGATGGAATTTATTATGAAAAAGCTATTAGAACTAATAAGTGAATTTTGCAAGGTTGCAGGATACAAGATCAAAATACAAAACTCAATTACATTGCTATATACTAGCAGTGAATAATTGGAAATGGATTTAAAAACCAATCCCATTTATACACAGTAGCATCAAAAATAAGAAATACTTAGGGATGTGTGAGACCTATATACTGTAAAACTATAAAACACTGCTGAGAAAAATTAGAGAGTGCCACAATAAATGGAGAGATACACCGTGTTCATGGATTAGAAGACAATACTGTTAAGATATCAGTTCTCCTTAAGTTGATCTATAGATTCAATACAATCCCAGTTAAAATCCCACCTGGCTGTTTTGTAGAAATTGAAACGTTGATCTAAAATTCAGATGGGAATTCAAAGGACTTAGAATAGCCAAAGCAACTTTGAAAGAGAACAAAATTGGAGGACTTACTACCTGACTCAAAGGCTATTTTAAGGCCATAGTAATTGAGACCATGGGGTATCAGCATAAAGATACATAAATAGATCAATTCAATAGAATAGAGAGTCCAGGAATATATCCACACATATATTTTCAATTTGTTTTCAGCATAAAGTGTGAAGGCAATTTGATGGAAAAAAGATATTCTTTTCAACAAATTAGTGTTGGAGCAATAGGATAGTCTAGGCAAAAAATGAACTTCAATCCATACCTGGCACCGTATACAAAAATTAATTCAAAAAGAACGTAAACCTAAATGTAAGTCCTAAAACTGTAACACTTGTAGAAGGAAACATAGGAGAAAGTCTCTGTGACACTGGGCTAGACCATATTTTTTGGTAAGATAGCTAAAGCATGATCCATAAAAGAAAACATTGATAAATTGGACTTTGTCAAAATTAAGTAATTTTATTCTTTGAAAGATACTGTTAAGAGGATGAAAAGGCAATCCATAGATTGGCAGAAAATATCTGCAAATCTTGTATCTGATAAAGGACTTGTATTCAGAGTATGTAAAGAACTTGCCAAACTCAATAATAAGTAAGCAAACGACCCAGTGAAACAATTGGCAACAGATTTGAAGAGACACTTCACCAAAGAAAATATAAGTGGATGGCAAATAAGTTCATGAAAAGATGTTCATATCATTAGTTATTCATTAGGGAAATACAAATTAAAATAATTATGAGATACCACTATACACCTATTAGAATGACTGAAACTAAAAACACTGGCCATACCATATTTTGGTGAAGTGTGGATGAAATTTGAACTCTGCTGGTGAGAATGTAAAATTATACAACCACTTTGGAAAACATTTTGGCAGTTTCTTGAAATGTTGAACATACACTTACCATATGACAGCCATTCCATGCCCCCATGTTTACCCAAAAGAAATGAAAGCATATGTCCATGTAAAGACTTGTACATGAGTGTTAATAACAGCTTTAGTTGTAATAGCCACAAATTGGGGAAAACCCTGATAGCAGTTTGCAGGTGAATGGATGCAATCCAGTAACAGGATTCACTCTGATACATACAAAGTGACGAACTACTAATACATGTCACAGTGTTGAAAAATCTCAAAATAGTTGGGCTACATGACAGAAGCCAGACAAAAACAAGAGTACATACTACACATACCATTTATATAAAATTCTAGAAAGTACAGTCTTTTCTAAAGTACAGTATCAGTGGCAGAGAGGGAGTGTGGTGGGGAGTGGAAGGAGGCAGTGATTATAAAATGGTATGAGGAAACTTCAGGCTGATGGATATGTTCATTATCCTCATTATGGTGATGGCGTCACTGGTGCATTCTTTGTCAAAATTTATGAAATTGTCTACTTTAAGTGTGTAGTTTATTTTATGTCACTTATAACTCAAATTTGTTAGAAATTAATTTTTAAAATTTTTATATATGTTGTGATTTTCTTCGTTTTACACTGACAATCAAGACTTAATTCTAAAACTCCTTCCTTAGTTTGCCCCATAAGCTTTTCCTTAGAGGGTGTTTCCTTCGTAAATGTGTTAACATTTATCTATATAGATTGTAATGTTCATTCATGCAACTCTTAGTTATTGATTCCTTAGCACTAAAACCACTGTTGTAGAAATATGATCCATGCCTCATGGAACTTAGACCTAGAATTTATAATGATAAAATTTTCAGGCATTTGTAAAAAATATGAGAAGTGTAGGAAGCGGTGGAGTTTATGTTGCTTAAAAACATCGCAGCATATTGGAAAGAGCAGCTTAGCTGTTTTCCAGCTCTGGGACAAGGGCATGTTTCTGAACTGTAAGGCCATCCGTAAAAGAGAGGACCTACCTTATCATAAAGCATTTGGGGTAGAAACCTAAAGTATCCACAACAATACCTGAGATGTTAGGTGCCTAAGAAATGGTACATATTGTTTTTTATAGTTTTCTGAAGTACTGTGAGATATTTCATTGGACTAAAACTATCTTGTTTAAATTGAATACACTTTTATCTTTTTAACACAAATGATTTAAAATTGGCATTTCTCTATTTTCTGCCATGCCTAAACAAAGTAACGTATGACAATTGTGGTTTTGCAGCCCAAAAGAATAATAATTTATTATGTGATAATTTACATAATACTAATTATAGTTGTGCTGGAAGTAACTTCCTTGGAAACCATAATGAAGATAAAATGCTGTTGAGCAAGGTAGAGGTGAAAGACCATGCACTCAAGTTTATGAACTTAACCTGGAGGGCACAGCTTTGATCCCTGCCCACTGATTCTTAGTTTAGGTACAATTCTCAAGAAGTGCTGTAGATGGTGCCTTTACCTTACCTGTTAGGGGAGGGGAGGGATTGTTGCTGGACACATGTAAACTGCTGGTAACAAAAAACAAGAGCTGAGACACCTGCAGAGAGAGAGATGAGAGGAAAACTAGAAAGTGAACATCAGTACTCAGAAAGTATGATACAGAAGCTAATAGAACTGTATGTTAGTAGCCTCTGGGGGTGTGACTATTACTAAAAGCAAAAAGTCACGAAGTGCTTAGTTTGTCACGGGGGTTGTGCTGCTTGTCTTACAGGCATTATTTCACTTAATTCTCAACACCACCTGTAGACACGGTCCTCAGCCTCGCCTTATGGACGGCGAACCTGTGACTTAGCAAGGTTGGTGCGTGGAAGTGCAGTTGGGGCTGAACCCAGGCCTCTCTGAAACCCGTTTGTGCACTGAGCCTCCATTCCATGCGCTCTTCTCCGTGGTTAATACAGTAAGACCATCGGCTATCATTAGAACCCCTTTGAATAAAGAAAAGGGTTAAGATGGTCATCATCTTTTTTTAAAGGTTGGAAAGTAGAAAAGTATTTTAAAACAACTTTTACTTTAAGAAATTCAAATTAAAGTTTTTCCACTGAAAGATGTAAGATACTGTTTTCTAAAAAAATTTGTAAAACATTTTATTTCCTGCTAAGATAAGTATATTGTGAAATTTATTAATCTATCTAGATTTTTGAATAAGAAACTATGTTGATTTTGTTAATTACATCATCTTATCCTCTAAAGGGAGTACATCTCTCTGGGTAACCTGTACAAGTGCTACATTCATTCTTTCTGTTTGTACTCCATGCTGTTCCAAAATGACCTAGGGCAATCATGAAACATGTATGTTAATTTGTAACCAACACAGTTGGGGACTAGTTTACTTTGGTTCCTTGACCACTCATGTGCAGTGTCCGTCCGTCTGGATCGTAAGCCCTGTGAGGGCAGAGGCTTTTGTTGTGTTCATTACTGTGTCTCCAGTGCCTGGAACAGTGCCTTGTAAATGAGGGCCTTGAAAGAGCATTAGTTGCTTGATTTCAAAAGCACTGAATTATAATTGCATGTAGTTCATTGGATTTATGCATAGCATAATTTTTATCTTTGACTCTTGATTTTATAAATTTTATAAAGATTATAGCCATTATTCTGACAGTCAGTTTTATATTTGATTTAAAATTTAAATCAGTTTTACCTATAAAAAGTATAAGATGTTGGGCCCAATACTATCTCAATGACACACCTGAAGTTTTGTCTTTTTCTAAATCTATTCTTATTATCTTAGCTGCTTTTCATTGTGGTTTTATTAGAGTGCAGAATGTGCCAAAAATGGAACAGGTGATGTGAGCTTGCCTGCCTCTCTTACTTTTTCTTTCCCACTTGGAATTACTTACTAAAACTTCTGTGATGTAGTGGTTTTTAAAAATCCCAGGAATTAGTGCTGCCACTTGCAGGCTCTGTAACCTTGGCAAGTTATATAACTAGCCTGTGCCTCTGTCTTGTTGGGGGTTTGCTGTGAAGAGTAAATGACTTTGTGTAATATCTGTAAATCACTTAGAATAGTTCTTGGCACATAAGGGCTCAACAAATGCTAATTATTACTTTTAGGGTTTTTATGAGGCTCAAATTAAACGAGATTATGCATGTAAAATGTTTAGTAGAGTATCTGGCATTTATTAAGTGCTCAGTAAATGCTAGTGGCTCTGATTTAAATAATCAGGTGCCAATAAGTCTAAAGAGGCTGTGTCTTTGGATCTCAGCATATGTCATATCTTTAGTCAATTTATTTTAGAGCATGAGGAAAAATCATTAGTTTTTATATTGGCTTTTCCCAGTAGGTACAAGTTACCAAATTATAAAAATTTTAAATAAATATATAATTATTTTATAATTTCTAAGTTTAGGTCATGTGTTAGGCCTCTCCCTTCAAGTTTATGTTTATTTTTACTATTAAAAATTTGACTAATCTCATAATTTAGCATAGTAATTTTCTTGGACAAGGCCTATCAATATTTGACTTATCTTTCTTCTGTTGTTGTCCTCCTTATAGGTTTGTGGAACCTTGCTTCTCTCTTTTCCAATCTTTGTTTATTTGTATTGATGCCCTTTGCCTTTTTCTTTCTGGAATCAGAAGGTTTTGCTGGCCTGAAGAAGGTAAGTGAATCGTGTTTTGGAATTAAATATCATTCATGTTGAACTAGAAAAAGTAGGCTTAAACAACCATTTGACTGGAATGTAAAAAATTTAATTAATAATAACAACAACATATTAATAATGTTAACAATAATATTAATAATATTGCACATTGAATTATTTGGCATGTCCACAGGGAGGAAGTCATCTTTCGACCTTTGAATGCTTTTACAGTGTGTGCAGAGTTGGTGGAGTATTCTTTTGTAGAGTAAATAAACCTGATATGATAGCTATTATTCCTTTCTTAGGCTATTTCATTTATTTAAAGCATGATGTGAAATTCTAAAAATCTTAAAATATATTTTGATGTAAAAGTTATTTCACATCCAGTATTTTCAGGAGAGTAGCGTGTTATAAAATCAAACATGCTCCATTAGATAGTCAAATTCCCAAGATACTGTGACCTACTGATCTTAGGCGAATGTGGGAGGATTAGAAGTGGGCAAAATGAGAGACTTTAATTCACACTTTATAAGTGGTAACAACTTCATCTATCCTTGAACATTATATTTTAAAGTGAAAGGAACAGCGTTTCTATTTATAGCTTGTGGAGTTCTTTGCTATAAATTTTGGAACCTACTGCAAAGATTTAACTAGTTAATACTTTTTGGGTGACTTTTAAACTTGATAAAATGAGTTCTAATGTTACAGTTTATAGACACATTACATCTTTTTAATGTTTAGTTCTATTCATATTGTGAAATATGGAGTGAAAGTGTACCTACATATCTTATTATTGAATAATAATATAATGCCAATTAAGTAAATTTGGCGTGGGAAAGTTGTAAACTTGTGAATTATTATTATTACTTTCATAAAACTTTTTGTGGATTCTTAGGAATGAAATTATTTAGTCTAATATTTTGACAACTCTTCTGATTTTAAACCTTAAGTATAGCACATTTTAGACCTATATATTGAAGGATGCCATGAAGGAACACTGAGAGGTGATAGTTAAAGTGTTGTGTCAGTGGATTCACCTTTCTGTTTTCTGGATATTATTCCATACTTTAATAGTCTGTGGTTGAAAACTAACAGTTGATTTCATATTTAGTAAATGTACTGAGAACAAAATAGATGGTTGAGTCTGGCAGTCAAACCTGACGTTGAGAAAACTGGTATATATATATTGGAATTGTTTTTTTTTTTTTTTTTTTGAGGAAGACCGGCTCTGAGCTAACATCTATTGCCAATCCTCCTCCGTTTTTTCCCCAAAGCCCCAGTAGATAGTTGTATGTCATAGTTGCACATTCTTCTAGTTGCTGTATGTGGGACGCAGCCTCAGCATGGCTGGAGAAGCGGTGCCTCGGTGTGCGCCCGGGATCCGAACCCGGGCTGCCAGCAGCGGAGTGCGCGCACTTAACCGCTAAGCCACAGGGCTGGCCCTGGAATTGTTTTTTATCATGATATTTTAAAATTATTTGTCATCTATGTAATGTAAAAGGATTATATAGTTTCAGTTTAAAAAGATCTTTGAGTTTTCATAATTTCTTGAAGAAATTATAGGAAGTTTTATTGCTGAAAGGGATTTAGTTCAAACTTTCCTTTTATAAAGAGAAAACTGAGGTGTAAAGATATTAAATGTTATTAAATTATCTAAGAACACATAGGTACAATTTCAGAACTAGTACTGAAACCCAGAGGTTGCTTCTAACCTCACCAAAGTGTGTTCTTCCTGTGTCAACACTGTGGAGAGCACTCTTAAAGCCCACAAGGTGGATGAGATGACCAAGGACAAAAGGGATGGAGAAGAAAAGAGGACTGTGGAGTGCTATGGAGCAAAGGAGCAAGGAAGAATTTTGAGCAGGTGCCGTCAGATAGCATGAGAACAAAAGGAGAATGATCTCTTGGAAGCCAAAAGACAATTTCTAGGAGAATGGAATGTAAAATGTTACATTGAAGAGGAGCTGAAGGAAAGAATATCAGGATCATTGGAGACACTTGAGAAAGCAATTTCTGTAGAATTTTGGAGCCTTTGATGGATATTCATTAATTTGACAGAGTTTTACTAAGCGCTTACTAAGTAATAATTATTATGCTATTATAGGAGCTTGCTGGGGACAGAAATGCAAAGACAGGGCTCCTGCCTTCAAGGGATGGACAGAAAGAGAAATCAGAGATGCAAGCAAATAGCATGCAGTGTGACGAACTTTCAAAACAACAAGGTGCTATGGGAGGCACTGCAGGAGTGGCTGTCTTGATTGCCTCGGGACTCTGGGAAGGCTTCACAGGAGGAGTCAGCCTGCACTTGAGCTCAGACTTGAAGGCTGAGCAGGGGTTGCTAGAGTGTGGCACGCCAGGCCTGATCAAAGGCATGCATTCTGCTGGAGTTGAGGGAATGGCTGATGCTTAGCTATAGAATGGAGAATGTGAGGTCAGGGTACACGGGAAGCTCGTCGGGGTCAACTCCTGGAGGCCTTGAGTCCTCTGCCAGGTAGTTTCGATTTTATGCTATAGACAACAGGAAGTTGGCAAAGGATTTTTGCCTCTATCATTTTCTTTAAATATATTTAGAGATAAATACACGTCAGATTTTCAACATATGTCACTAGGGAAAGAAGTACATGCGGCACACAATGTGATAACACTGTGTTTTGTAGAGATAGCACCATACTAAGTCAGTCAGGCACCTGGCTCTGTTAAACAGTGTTTCAACATATGTCATAAAATTTCCATGTTGATGTTTGCTTTAAATATGCAAAGTTCACCCTCTTCCATCTCTGCCCCATGTGTAATCTTACCAAATGTAAAACAACTGGTAAAGCCCAGTGTTCAATGTATATTTTCATATTTGGTATTATAGGTGTTTCTACTTAGGTCATGTGTTTTATAAAAATCTAGTTATTAGTTAAATAGATTATTTTTAAAAGCAGTGTGCAATCTGGACAAACCCCTTGCTTCCAAATTAATTTCCTCCCTTCTTGTGAACTAACCAACTAGAAATGGGACTTGGCTAAATCTGTTGGAGCAGAATTAGCAACCATCTCTAGATTAAAAACAAATGACACGAAAACCCAGTGACATGTCACTGTTCTCCTGTTGCCCCTTGTAGACTAAGGTCAAAGGGGAGAATCAGCTTGGGGAGGGATACCAGAAGGTAATTAAAGATATTTTTTACCTACTTTTGTACAGCAATTCTTCTCTCTAAATTTATTACTTCTAGTCTCTCTATAGAGAGACTCTCTCTATAGAGAGAGTCTCTCTATACACGTTGAAAAGAATATTCCTTTCTAAGCATATCTTTGACTATGGTAGTCACCTCAAAATTCCTCAAGGTCGCCAGCTGCATTTCCTGATCTCAAAGGGGACCCACGTGTTGAGTGATTGTAGGATATAATCGACATGACCAGTTAATTCTCAAACACAGCAAAGGATTTAAGACGAGAGCAAGAAGGCAGAGCTCAGTATAGTTATTATTTATTTGACTTCCGTAGCTGGGGAACGAATGGGAGTTGTAGAAACCAATTTAAAGAATTTGGTCTTTAATGCTGTTAAAGAAATGGGGAGGATGGGGGCCGGCCCCGTGGCTTAGCAGTTAAGTGCGTGCGCTCCACTACTGGTGGCCCGGGTTCGGATCCCCGGTGCTCACCGACGCACCCCTTGTCCGGCCATGCTGAGGCGGTGTCCCACATACAGCAACTAGCAGGACGCGCAACTATGACGTACAACTATCTACTGGGGATTTGGGGAGAAAAAGGGAAAAAAAGGAGGTGGATTGGCAATAGATGTTAGCTTAGGGCCGGTCTTCCTCAGCAAAAAAGAGGAGGATTGGCATGGATGTTAGCTCAGGGCTGATCTTCCTCACCAAAAAAAAGAAAAGAGGAGGATGGGGTTGTAGCTTGGAGGTAGACACTGTAGAATAATTCTACTTAGTATGCTCAGGGGAAGGGGCCAGTGGAGGAGACATTGAGGGTACTGAGGGGAGAAGGTTTGTCTTTAGAGTCAGACTGCCCGGGCTAGTTACTTAATCGAAATTTCAGGTGTTCTTTCTGTATAATGGATATGGTAATGATAGCTACCTTACTGTATTATTACTTATTTTTTTTGGTGAGGAAGGTTGGCCCTGTGCTAACATCCGTGCGCATCTTCCTCTATTTTGTACATGGGATGCCGCCACATACAATGTGGCTTGATGAGCGGTGTGTAGGTCTACACCCAGGATTTGAACCTGCAAACCTCAGGCCGCCGAAGTGGAGTGCACAGATGTAACCACTACACCACCAGGCCGTCCCCCTCTTACTGTATTATTTAGAGGATTAAATGAGAGGAGATTATTCGTGTGAAGTGCATAGCCCAGGATTTATCTCAGTAAATGTTAGCTATTATTGCCATTATCTTAGAGCTTAATGCATTTGACTGGTAGGTATTCTAGAAAATATCAGTGTTATATGGGATCATCAGAAAGCAACTGAATACACTATAGTCGGCTCTTAATTATTCACACATACTATTATCCTAGGCAATTTTAAGATGCTGTACTATTTTTCCCATTTTGAAATAGCATGGACTGAAGCAGAATCAAACTTACTTGAAGATAAAGTACATTCTAGACGCTGTTAGGAATGTTTAGAAAGCTTTAAAATTGGGGTAATCATGGCATGGTATTTTAAAATATTCATATTTTTCAGTTTTAAAATCAATTACATGAAAGTTTTGAGGGTTATTAGCTTTGTATGGTTAAGTCTAAGTGTGTAAAGTATACATTTGAGCCTTTCAATATTGTGCCTTTCTGTTATCTGTTTTGGTATTTACTTGTGCAGATTCTAGATAATGTTCAGATCTCTAGTTCTTTACACAGAACTGTAGGTTGTATCATAGTCATTAACTCTGTTGCTCTGTTGAAGTGAGTGTGTCAGTGACCACAATCACAGCTGACGAGCAAGTTATACATTTCTGTATATCCCTTTAAAGCTCTTTGCTCATCGGTTACATTTGACACATCTAGTTCCAGGACAATATTG